TACTACTTATACTTACTACTACTACTACTACTACTACTACTACCATTACTACCACTATTAGCACATAGTCATGGCCCTACGACTTGGCTGAGAGCACACTGACAAACGGACTAGCGCAACTGCAACACAAACACACGACAAAACAAACACAAATAATCGCTTCATAAATGAGTGAGGGCAGTCTTCGCGTCAAATACATGAAACAAATGGCGTGCGATGACTTCTCTACAAAATCTGCGCTTGTCAAATTCGTGCACTAGGTAAACGAGTTGCAACCTAAGACCGGGCTTTGTTCTGGAAAAGTTGCGGCGCACGGTTGCGAGTTCCCGAATTCGGATTTCATATATGCAAGCCTTAACAATTGGAGTGTAGGGCTTCGGGTTTGCCTTATTATGTTTACAGTCAGGAACCCGAAGGAATGGCATTTCAATGTGTTTCTAACTATATTTCAGGCCCTTACAGTAGAGAGTTAGGGTTCAGGGCTTGGCGGTTTCGGGGTTTCGGGGTTGAGGGCAAGTTCAGGGTTTAAAGTTAGGCCATGTCAAGGATCGATGCCTGCAGGAAGTCCGCAAGCTCTGAGGACAGCCGCCCGGGCTCTCCGAGGAGACCGCCGTGCGTAAGGTAAATAAGCCCTGGCTGCATGGTAGGGGCTTCACTACTAGAACAAGGTTTGGGGGTATTCTTTTGACGAACCAGAAGGGAGACTATTGGTAATTACTCCGGCCTCTCGAGCAGTCCTGAAGTCGCCTGTGTGTCTGCATTGGTCGGAACAATCGTGCTTCACTTCTACTGGAACTGCATCTTTCAAGATGAATGATGGGACATGTCACGCACAGCCAGATTGCAAGTCCTGAACAAGAGATGATCGGCGCCACCGTCTTCATCATCATCGCCAGTACCAGATCGTAAATGCAACGAACCAGTGACACATGCAGCAACGAAAGCAGTCATGACAATCAGAGTAGCAGTAGTTGATTTTTGCGAGCGCTGCAGGTTCAGGCATAATATGAAGAGGAGGCTCCATAGTGCTAGGCCGAAGAAGAAGCAGATGGAAGCTCATGCTCTTGTTGCGAGGCTTCTGCTACTGTGCTCACGCTGCCTACCCAAGCCAAGGATGCAATGGGCCAACACATGTTCACCATGCAAGTGCGAAGACATGGCCTTCGTGGTGGGCACGGTTCAACTTCTACATGGCAGCTCTGCACTGGCACTTGCAACGAAAACAGGTTGAAACATTCTCGCCGTGCCTGGTTGTGCTCTCCTTCACTACTAAAGGCAGAATTATCGTCAAGACAGGACGTAGGCCCCTCGAACCAACAAAAACGTAAAGTCTCTCTCACGGCGATGGTTCAGGGCAGAGGGGTTTACCGGTTTTTAATCTACATGGAAGATGGAGCGCGGCTTTCTGCCGGCTCCCTGGGTCTTAAGCAGCGCTGGGATGACGGAATCCGGCCACTTCATCCCTCCTCTGCGCGGGCCAGGCCCGAACCTGGCAAACGGCTGATGTAGGGAGTTTAGGGTTCATGGTTTAGGGTTTTGGGTTTAGGGTTTAGGGTTTAGGGTTTAGGGTTCAGGGTTTAGGGTTTTGGGTTTAGGGCCTTAATAATTAGAATAGGGTCTTGGGGCCAATTATACTGTAATTATAATAAGGAACCCCCAACATGATGCAGGCAATTATTAAGGCCCCTATATTATGCCAAAGACGGAAGCTGATTCAAAGTCGAAACTCTTGCCGAGAACCCTGCATCATCATGCCCTAAACCGTGAACCATGAACTGATTCGACACTGGGTCTGAGGGTGCACAAGCTTTTGACATCTTCTGCTTGCGGATTCAGCCTTTAATGCAGGCTAACGGTTTAGGATTAGGGTTCAGGCTGTAAGGTAATCGAGGGGCCTTAATAAGTAGAATAGGGTTTTGGGGTGTATCATACTATTTTATAGTAAGGCACCCCCAAAATAGTATAGGATATTGAGGCCCCTATATTACACGGTGCAAATGCGGGGCTTTCGCACACTGTAGACAACCACATCTTCAACACAACTGTGCTGCATGTGACAAGGATATTGCCGGGTCCTTCTCCTCCCGCTTACAAGCAACGACGGCAGCAACTGCAAAAACAGCAACAGATCCAAACAACAGAACAGGAAAACATCACATCACGCACGAAACAAGATCAACAACGAGGACAAAACACTAAATTGCACCATCAACACAAGAATAATGCGCAGAAAACAGACACTGACACTAAACGTTACAAACACAGCAATACCAAAGCTACCCATCACCATCAACATCTGAATCCTCAACACCAACATCGGTAGCAATAAGAAGAGCAACAGTAACGGCTAATACCTGTAGCAATCATAGCGAACAAAAACTTAAAAACCCAAGTAAACCCTACACCCTAAACCCTAAACCCCTAAACCCTAAACCCCTAAACCCTAAACCCCTAAAATCCTAAAGCCCTACACCCTNNCCCTAAACCCTAAACCCAATTCAGACCAACATCCGCGGCTTCTGTCTGGGCTCCCATGCACGGGCTGCGCAGGGTGCCGTGGGGCCAAGGAGCGCTTGTAGGCTCCGATGCCTGGGTTTTTGTAGGGTTTAGGGGTTTGGGGGTTTAGGGTTTAGGTTTAGGGTTTAGGGGTTTAAGGGTTTAGGGTTTAGGGGTTTAGGGTTTAGGGGTTTAGGGGTTTAGGGTTTAGGATTTTAGGCTTTAGGGGTTCA